TAATGAAAAAATTTAGGTACCAAAACGTAATTTTCCAATGAGATTTTTCGTATAAAAAATTAAATTTTGGGAACCAAAATGAATATAAAAATTATAGGTACCAAACTGTAATTTGCCATTTGGATCCATGGATCAATCCATGAATCCACCAATCCAATTGGATTTGGATTAAATGGATTGGATTAGGTGGATATTTTTAATGGATTGGTGGATTGGATTGAGAATTGCCACCTCTAGTTGTGGCTATAATTCCCCGCTTCATAATAGTTGTGGCTAATATATTGTATTTACCCTTTATTTTAAGTGCTTTATAATATGAGAGGTTGTGTAAAATGATTATAAAAGACTTACAATATAAACTATGAATAATAATTTTAAACAATAAAATGTAGTCAAAATGGATCTTGTTAGACTTCTTTTATATTAAATAATATGATTTTATACTTTATTTTATTTTTAAAATGATATAAATGAAATAAAATTATATTTTCTGAAATAAAATTAAAATATAGTAAGGATAATCTTGTATTTTCAAAACAGCTTTTCGCGGAAGCTCCAAATCGGAGCATTTGGAGCTTCTATTTTTATGTTATACAAAAGCAGGTGTTTGACCCTGCTTCAGCTTTTGAAGCCAAAAACACTTCTAAAATTCGGGCCATACATAGGCAAAGTCAGATGAACCACCATGTTTTAACTCGTACACTGGTTCACTATTTTAATTAATTTTTTAAGAAATATTTTAACATAATCTAAGAACATCAAACCATAATTATTGATTGTACATATGCTTCCTCTTCCTATTCAAACCTTGTTGTCGACTTTACGTTGTCCACTACCGATTGCCACCGTAATTTTTAGCCTCTCAAATTCGCACCGAAAAGGAGGGAAGGAGAGTCAAAATCCCAAACGACGTAGCACAGAAAGCCAGCCTGCTGACCCGCTCTCTCGGTCAAACTGTCCGGGTTTGATGGACTTTATCGGGTTTGATCGTATTTGATCAAATCCGGGCGGATGCTTTATTGGGTTGCTGGCGCCCATTTTTGTGAGCGGATCCGAATCAAACTGTGCCAACCCGCGAATTGACAACCTTGTATAAATTGATCATTCTACTCACAAAGATATTCAATTTAAATATTTTCTTAAGCTATCAATCAAGTAACACTGCATCTCGTTTGATCCACTTGAATCAAGTAACGTACTAGCCACTAGGAGTGGGCACGGGGGTGGTTAATCCGCGGATTGATATCAAGGCAACCGCAAATAACCCAACCCGCAAGCAGTGGGTGATTGATGTGGGTGGATTACGGATTGATAAATCTCCCACCCGCACTTATGTGGGTGGATTGCGGGTCAGCCGAATGACTCACCTCCTATTTTCACATGATTTTTTTTGTTTCTTATAGTATCAAATATTTATCATATTTCTGAATCGTACTACAGGCTGACCATATACTTCTAAAATTTGAGAATAAAGAATAGTTTTGACTACTTTTTATTGGTTACTATGTTGTATTATATCCATAAGATATTGCATATTAAAATGCAGATTATTGTTAATATCCATTAAATATTAGGACGAAAACTATAAATTATTAACGATATCAAGATCACAAAATGCGTAAGTTTTCTCTACACAATTGGTTCATAAAGTAGTAAATTTTTTAATGAAAATACTACATAAACTCACTTGAGACAAAGTGAGGAGTGTTTAAGAAGCAGGAGACGCCTATAAATAGGACGCTCATTTATGCTTTCTCGATAGTTCATAGGGAATTGAACTTCTGAATCTCTCTCTAGATCCGGCTTACTATGCCGCTCCCGGTTACTCTCCTCTCAAATACTGACTTGAGTTTCGGAGAAGGTCCGTCCTTTTGTTTTGTTGGGAAATCTCTCGTCAAGCGGATTACTGTATGTTACCCACTTGTAGAATGGGAGAGAAAGCAAGTGAGAGTGAAGGGATTGGGATTCCACTTGATTAGGACCGACCCACTAATCCGATTCTTCCCGACCCGCCCCAACCTAAAGGGTCAGAAAGAGTCAATAAGAAAATACGAACGGAGAGGATTAGTCATATATATTGACTCTTCAGAAGTGGGTCAAACAGGATTAAGGTTGGGTGAGGGCAATTTTTAGCGCTAAGCAGAGTTCTGGGTTGAATAACTTTACTTAGGCCTAGAAATTGGTGCTGACGCAGACTGCAGTTTTTATTATACCATCATCATTGAATTAGTCCTAGGCATCCCTCCCGTTGTCGGTCTGAATTCTAATGATGGCTTCATTCCTTGCACCAGCCATATCAGCGAGTTGTCATCTCGAGCGTGATTTGCCTATGTACAAATGATACAATTAGAGTATGAAACTGAATTCAAAGAAAAGGAAAAGAGAATTCTATCACATGCCAATAAATACACACATAATAGTTGAAGCTAAGTGAATTACTCGCACATCAATTCTCAAAAATTACAGACTAAACAATGGCTATAAAGACACTGAAACTACCAAGAATCATGGACGAAACAACTTGTCAAATTAAATAATCCATATACTGAAACTACCTTCTAACTTGAAATAAGACATGATCACAGTTCATAGCACTCTTATCACTATGAATTGGTTGCAGCTCGTCCTTATCACTGCCTCCCAAGCTCAATTCAAACAGAATAGAGACCGTTATGTAAAATAACCATATCCTTACTGATCATAATTCCTTTCTTCACTCCATTTTTGTCGGAGAAAAGAGTTATCCCCTCTCCTGCATTTCCCTTTCCCCCTCTCTTCTCCCTCTTCTTCACAAACTGATCCCTAAACCAGCAACAACAACACAAAAATAGCCTTCGCCTCTGTCATCTCCATCTACTGAATGCGTTGGTGGCAAGACAGGACTGCAGAAGCAAAATTTTCTAACATCAAACTAAATTTTTTGAAGGAGACTCAACCACGAAAAAAGAGTAAAGCAACAATGCTAATAGTTCATATCGTTGGTTTTGATGTTATACATTGATTTTGTTATGGTCTCCAGCATATCAACTGCAACAGAGATGTTTCCTCCAATCATCTTTAGTGCATGATTTAGAATCAAGCCCTCTCGTTTGTGTCAAACGGAAACATTCATGGGTTCTTAACTCCCCTGTTAGTGTAAATGCAGCAGCAGCAAAGAAGTTTGACAACACAGCAAGCACCCAGACAAAATGATACAATGCAGTAGGTGATATGTGTCTCGAAGGTTTTGAGTTACTAAAGTTCATGTTAAAAATAAACATGAATTAAAATGAATTATTCTATTAAGCAAACATCCCCTCTAATCATACAAAGATCAGATATCCAATTCACAAACAATTAAGCCATAAAAAATCATCACACATCCACCACCTTTGATTACCTAAATTTGGTTTTTCGCAAAGTTATGGACTCTTAAGGGTAACGTTCATGGGTAGTCTGTTTCATAACTCTAGAGAGCACAGTAAACAGCCACCAGCCAGACACAGTGTCGGAGGCGAATATGATTCTCAATTCACAATTTCTCACCACCGGAAGTAAGAACAAACCATAATAAGCGTAGCGTTCATGGGTGGTCTGTTTCATAGCACTACTACACAATTTGTTAAAAAAGAAAGAAAGATATTTAGCATCACGGCGGAACAACTTTTACAGGCCAACAACGACAACATGCTACAACCACCAGAACTGGTATCACAACTCATAGGGAAAATCAAAAGATTTACTCTCAAATTAAGTAGTTACAACATCGAGCAATCGTCAAGCACATACACCATCACAAAAGTCACGGAACCTGATTCACAAAGCATTCAAACATTTGAGGACATTTCTGCAAAGGTACAACTTATATGTCTTTTTTCCAAGCCATTTCCATCAACATGCTAATAAATTTGCAATGCATAAAAAAAACGGGCCAAAACTTGAAATTCAGCCTGTTTGACCGACCCATGTCAAATTCTAATTATTCTTTACTTTTAAGTTTTCTATTTGAAAATAAAAAATAGTGAAAGAAAAGAGACGACTACAATTCGCCATTTGCACATCACTTATTCGGGAATAAAACCGTAGAAATTCAAAAGGAACTGAAAATGTTTAGGATCGTTTTAATGTTTAAAATAACCAAATAGATCTTTATGTTTAGTTTTTTTACTAACAAATACCAAACGATTCCCTATAAAATACACTATAATTTGATCATTATGATATCAAATAATTATAAAATATATATTTGAAATGATAAAAATTGAACTAATTGGGTTGGTCGAGGTTGAACCATTGAATAACTTTAAAATACATTAAATTTTAGCCACTAAGATATAAAATAATAGCATAATATATATTATGCCAGAGAAAATAGCTTGTTTTAGAATGACAAACCAATGATGTTCATTTGTTTTACTTGATGGCCAAATCCCATGTAGGTCAGGCCCATTCAACTCTTTTATTTTTATAGTTAGCAGTTAGCCCATTAGATACCATGCATTAGTTTATTGTTAAATTTTTTATTTTTAACAATAAAAAGGAGTATTATTTTTGCCTTTTCATATATATTTTATCACCACGGAGAAATAAAAGGGTTTAAAGAAAAAAATTGACACTCCTGGACCCGTTTAAATTCGCATGTGTACGGTAAGTTGACCCGTTCTACAGAGGAAAGAGAAAAAAATTGACACTCCCTATTCTACCCTACTACAAACGCTCCTGGAGCAGGGAATTTGAAATGGGGAAAGAGTTTTTTCCTCCCTGCTATTATATATTTTTAATTTAAAAAAATACAGCCAATGTACTTAGTGTGATTGGTTGTTATCCTTACTTTTCTTTAAAATGGTCATGGTTCGAATCCCAGTATTATAAGTATATTAGATTTGGGCTTATCCTGTAAAAATAATGCTGATGGGCTTATGGGCCCAAACGTCGGACTAATAATGATTAGGCGCGCGCAAAATCCAATTTTTAAAGCTCTCTATTTTCTACAAGTTTCTATTTCTGGTTTTCGCGCTCTAGAAAACCTTTCGACTTCCTTTTCCGGTTTCCGTCTCGCCGCAGTCGTTTCCACTTCCCAACACTCTTTACCTTCAGCTGAATATCGTTTACTTCCCGTCGGAAGAATATGTAACCTCTAGATCGGAGAAGTCGACCTGTAATCGTCGCCATGGAAGCAGAATCTCCGGAGTTGGTACTCACAATCTCAGAGTTGGTTAGCCGTGGCCGAGCCTTCACCGCCGCGTCGTCTCTAGGGTCCTCTCCCGCCGGCGCTTCGGTCAGTCATTCGTCTTTGGTAGGTAAATTGGATGACGAAAATCCACGTCCTAAGCCGCCGCCGCCGCCGCCGCCGAGGAAGCCATTCCTGAATCCAACCGGTACAAACCCTAGCCCTAGAGTCCTTGAACCTCTGAACCGTGCCGCGATTTTGATAGGGACCATAACTCTTCCTCCCGAGAGTTTACATTGTCCGCACAGGAGTTGCTTTCAGTTCTCTGATGATTCCTCTGCTAGCGTTTGCTGTGACGTTCTTGACTTTCGGGTACAGTTAGTCGGAAGGAGAATTCGCGTCCTCGCTTGGAATTTTCTCCCTCTTAGGCATGGAAACGGTGGATTTTTGGAGATTGTCAGGTGGGATTTCCTGGAATCCGGCTGTGTCCTCTCCCGATGTACAAATGTAGATCCGATTCCGCTTATTTCTTCTTTGCCTTCTGCTCCTCCCCCTCCTCCTCCCCCTCAAGAAGGGAAATCGAAGGCTTGTTATAGTATCCATGGCCCAGTAGACTCAGTAAGCCCTGTTTCTGATGTTCCTTGCTCAACCGGGACACTGAAGGCGCAGAAGCTCCGTGGCTTTATCGCTCGGATTATGGTTTGTCTGTGTCAGTTATGTAGTTGTAAAGAAGTCACTAAGGTTCTGCAAAATGTAGCTAAGAAAGAAGATCATCGCTTTACAGAAGCCAAGTTTGTATATTTTGTTGGTGCTTCTTCTTGTTGGCAACCGGTGATCATGAAGCTTGTAGGGAGTGTTATCATGTTATCAGGGCTGAAGAAGAAGTTGGTTTTCATTGGCGAAAAGGAGTCTCAATTGATGTTTGTGACCACTGAAAACTCCACTCTGCAATTGCCAAAGTTGTATAGGAAATGGTTATTGTTTCCGGAAACCCCTATCAAGGGTAGAGGGGAACGTGGTGTTTACTCCGGCATTATCAGAGGAATCTATATGCAAGGGATGGTTATGGAGCTGGATAAAGAAGTTTGGCTCTTGCTGACCGATCATTTCCTTACCTTGCCTCACAGCCTTAGAGTTGGCGCAGTTGTAAGAAAAATTCTCTTCCAGACCATTTTCTAGAGTGTGTTATATAGAGCTTTAGGTTATGTATTTGTCTGATACACCTGCAGTTTATTGTAGATTTCCGTGAAGAATGCTCACTTTGTAAATCCAAAATTTCATTGGACCAAAATGCTGATACTTGGAACATGCATCAAATCTAACATATCTGTGGAGTCATTCTCGCCCTTGGATACCAGGTTAAAGCTGTTTATTCCATTGCCCTTTATGTTAAACCCTCTTCAAACCTTCCCAGAGGCCAGTAATTCTGTGGAGAATGATTGCATAATTGTCAAAGATGGTTCAAAGTTATGATTGATTCACTGTTTATCCTGATCTGGTTAAGCAATCATCTTATAATAAGTTATTAATTATACTCTGTAAAGCATCTGGTTGGTTATTCAATTTCCTCAAATTGTTTTAATGTTAGTGCACTTGATATTTACAGAATTGTTTATTGTATGCCACAGATGCCTTATGGTATCCCAATCACAGAGCCAGCTGGGAATTTTCATCGAGTCCTTGAGATTTTCTGTCAAGCTATGGTATGAAGTATGAATGTCCTTGGTGATCCCCTATGATTGGAAATATGTAATACCTTGTTTGATTTTCTAACTTTTTAGTTGGATGTAGGGCACTTGTCACTGTTGCTTGTTTCCAGAAAAAGTTTGGTGGAACTTTATCCGAGAAGGAGATAGTGGGATCCAAAAATGTAATATTCTTGCTACAGATCGTCCTAGTTTGTAGGCATTCAATATTCTGCTTTTTTGATTTGAAGCCAATTTTTCTCATGTACGTGATTATTTTGTTACGGCTGATTTTGTGTCTTGTGGTACTTATAGAGGAAAGGACTGGTGCAGATGTTTATCAGCAGACAACTATCGCCTTTAGGGGTTCGAGCTCTGGTAAATGGGTAATCTACAATTAGATGAGCCGATTCAAGTGAATCTACTTATATTTGCTCGGCATTTGTTTAACTCATGTTGGGATCTTGGGTCGAGACAGGTGATATTTTAGTAGGTAAATTAACGCCTCAAATCGAACTTTTTTGTTGGCAGCATGGAGTGTTTTCTGAGTTATGCACACATTGTGCAAATGGGTGTGGTAGCCAGCCATACATTGAAAACCTTAAATTGGTCAGTCTTCATACTACCTACTTGAAAATATGTTTTCACAGCTGCTTTATTCATCGGAGTCCTCGCTGTTGTCTTTGCCGTCGCTGGTTTTTCGTAATCAAGCAAAATAGTTTTCTGTTATGTTATTTCAGGTGGTGCCAATATCTATTTTACTTCATAATTGTGAGGTCTTATGGACTGAATCACAGTTTCAGCTGGAGAACAACCACGATACTTCCTCGGGCAGTTCTCATTCGAGCTTATTTCCAGATCAAATGCCATCATGTCAGCCATTGAGGAGGGTCTTTTCAAGTGAAGAGATAGGCTTTTTCTTGCTTGGAAATCTGAAGGTTGGTGTGGTGATCTAATTTTGGTTACTATTTCTGTTTTTCTATCTCTGGAAGAAGGTAAGTCTGAAAAACGAGTGTATATATGAAGTCTATGGGACCTTGTCGGAGGAAAGTTGTAGCAGAATGTTCTGTTCCATGAGTGACTGGCTCTGCGGGGATACATGTCGATGCATTAATAAATGAAAAAGGACTGTTCAATGCCAAAGTGAGTACATGGATATTGTTGGCATGGCTTCTTGGTTTCTACATTATCTTTTAAACTTAGTAATTTGCTGGATTGCTTCAATTGCAGCAGTCTGCTGTATCCCCATAAGTTGTCACCATTTTTTGATACTTGTCTCGGATTCTTATGGTTGTTATCGTTGATGTATCTGTTATGTGTTTCATTTAGATGAATCAGGAAACTCATACATTCATTTGATTGTAGGTAATAAATGTTTTTTCTTCTCCCAGATTTCTTCTGCTTCTGGAAGGCTACAGTTAGTAGATGCCACTGGCAGCATTGATGCCATAGTGCCAGACCTTCCATCAACTTGGAACATCAACACTATCTATAAGGTTACGGAGAATTCCCATGTTTTGGAGTTATCTCTTTTAGTAGTTTAAGAAGCATATGTTACAGAAGATAGTCTAAACTGTCTTGTCTTTTGTGCAGGTTGTAAACTTTAGTATTATCGTCGAGGGCAAGCCGAATTCGCCATGTCAATCAGAGCTGCTTCACCATCGTTCTATCTCTTGCAGACATATATTTCACTTAACACCTTCAGCTAGAGAAACAAACTTGTCGGTTTATGCTTATTTCTGCTTAAGGAATGCTGGATGTCAAAATGGTCCCTTCTATCATTCTTTGTGCAGCAGTGATAGTAGCAAGGAGCTCCAAAGTGGAAATTTCCATGTACTATTAGTCACACATAAGCATCCTCTTGTACAAAAGGTATGTTTATCTGAATGCCTTTTCCCTAGAAAGAGGCAAGCCTTTATTGTTAGCCATTGTTCATGACCATCATATACGTAAGTAGACAATCAAAAGAAATAGAGGTGGTATGTTTGCTTTATGAGTTAGGAATCGTGTTTTCATTTGCAGTTTCAAGGTGTCCCAGTTATATCAGATGGGTGTACTGCATTCGCTGAGGCCATTGTCTTGTCTTGGGAGCTGTTTCTTTCTGGTAAAGATGGAAATAGACATTCAAGTAAGCTCTCAAACAATGAAATGAATGCTTGCTCACAACATGGCGGTTATCCCAATAAGAAGTATAAATCTGATGCAATATCAGGCCACTCAGATGTTTCACTACCAACAGATAACCCAAGATATTTTGGCAATGAACAGAATTGTTATTCTTCTTCTGTCAGTGATTCCACCAACTCAACATGTAGCAATCTTATTTCTCCTGAGATTTTTTGTTCTGCCACTATAAGAACTGCCAGTAGTGACAACTTGGATGTCTTAGGGAAGTTCTGCACACAATGTAATATGAAGAATAGGGTTAACCATGAGCCAAGAACACAGAAGGTGCTGCTGGAATTTGATTCGACAAATAATTTCAAGTATCAGGTGTGCTAAATCTCCTTTGTTTTTGGTGCTAATCAAATTTAAGCTTCGCCACTACCTGTATTCATTGTTTTTCAAAATTCCAGTTGTTGCAGATTGGTGTATTTTACATCATAAAACATCATGCAGAAGACTGTCTGTGTGCTAGTAAGGGGTGTAACAAGTTTAGCAGTGGTAAGGTTCTTGTTAATTCCAACATACATCTATGGAGCCTTTCTTTCTCTGCTGATGAGGGTTTCCCAAATAATAAACTATCAAAGTATCCCTCCCCGAGGGATGGGACTTCCTGCAATGGGGACAGCCAGGCGGGAGATGACATTGAGCTACTTCTGCGGAATAAAACGTTCAGTTCTCCTGAAATTTGTGCAGATGTTTGTCTTTATCTTCCTGCCAGTGTAATATGTGTATTGGAGGCAAAGCATAAAGAAAGCATCGGACTTCTTTCTGTGCCTTTTGATAAGGACGAGAATCTTGGTGATATGAGTGGCATATTTCATGTGGGACGATTAATATCTATAAGTGGATGTGTGATATCCATCCACGGTTTGGATTGCGATTGTCCACATCTTAATTCAGGGAATGAATTGACAGATGGTATTCCTCAAGCAAGAGCTTTTCAGGGGATTAAAAGTTCTGTTCATATGCTGGTTTTGGTGGATGATCAAATGGTAATTAGCTTACTGGATTTTGGGTGACAGCGGGGCATTGGTCATATATCCAGGTAGGAAGCACACTTACCGTTTGAAGTTCTATATTTTCGCAGGTGTGCATTATTGGATCAGTAAGCAGACAATCATATCCTGTTGGATTTGGCCCAGGTGTCACTGCATCCTTTTATCGGGTTCTAAAATCGAGGTATCAATGAAGTTCTTTAGCACCAATATTAACTGGTTAACATTCAGGACTTCCCTTGTTGTGTCTATTGTAGTAAATCTTTATCCTCATAAATTTATTTTTGCAGGGGATCCAATAGATTGATGCTCACACCTGTTTCATTTATAGTAGTCAACTCTATTAGGGTTGCACCTGAATTAGATGCTGATAAAGCTGCCAACAACACTTTGGTAACGAAGGCATTTACTGTTGATGAATCTGCCAGCAACCCTTTGGTAACGAAGAATTTTTCTACTTCATCTTTGAATAATGTTACCTTTGGAATGTTGTCAGAGCTCCATCAGTTCCTAGATAGCAAGCCCATGCGATTCAATTGCAGGGTAAGTTATACCTTATCTTTTAGACCTAAATACATGCATCTTATTGTTTATGATTGATGTCTTCCTATCTGAAAATGCTCTTTAGATATCATTGACATGATCTTTTGACGTGTGTAGGTAGTTAGCATCCATGTTTTGGTTCTAGAGAAGAGAAGGAAACGTGAAAGTCTAAACCCAAATGTTCACTCAGTGGCACACTTTCTGGACATTCCTCTAGCAGGATTTCTTCTGGGTAACCTTTTCTCTGTGATATAAAATACATAATAACAATGTTTAGGTTATGGATAAGCCGGACCGCTAGCTTTCTGATTTTGATTTCTTTAATATTCAGGCACTGATCTTCTAGCAGATGCTGGTTTTTAGTTTACATTTTTTAGGTCGCGTTTTAATGGTCTGAAAACCTTCATCAACCAGTCAGCTAAATCAATATGAAGGTCCCGCTTTCTGGCTATCTGATTATTTTTATTCTTTGTGATTGATCATAGATGATGGATCCTCATCATGCTTTTGCTGGGCTAGTGGTCAAAGAGCAGCAACTCTATTACGGCTTCATGAGGAACTCTCCCTTAGAGCTTTGGGTGGCTACTCGTTGAAGTGGATGGCGATGGGAAATGGTCCATTTAGATCCATAATGCATCATCTCGAAAGAATAGTAAACAAGCATAACAGAGTAACTATCAAGAACTGTGGACCACCAGCCGATTCCTGCTATCAAGATCTCACTGTCTCAGTCAGTTCGGGTAGTACTCTCAGTGCCTTTGACGAGTACTTCCTAAAATTCATCGCCTTCAATTCTTGCTTTGGTTCGATCTTGGTAAGTTTGTGATATTCAACGACGCTAGTTTGTTTACTAGTTTATCATATGAACTCTCAACTGATGCTTGCCGTCTCAACCTTTCTTTCCATGTGTGTACAGGCTGTGGCTGGAAGCTTGATGGATGCGAATACTGTTGTGGAGCTAGAGACCGAGCAGCTTAAACATACCGGAACGACTATTCCTGCTGGTCAAAACATGTGGGCATCAGAGGTTTGTTTCCCTGATACTCTCACTGATGCCAGGCGCATGATGCAAGAGCTCTTAGATAGTTAGTTGACATGTGGTCATCATTAGGTATTTCTTTCATATCACCTTGTAATGTTAGTCAAATTGGTCTTAGAGATCATGTAAGCGTTATACAAGCTAACAGGTCTAAGAAGGACACGATGCATCAATGATATGAGAACAAAAACGCTATGAGCATGATTAGTCGTATCATACAGAAGTTTTTGCACCGCCAGGTACAGATGACAAGCAGTGAACAAAAACAAGACATGCCATTTCTTTGTTCTTCTTCACAAACACATTGCGAAATGCGAATATACATTCATTTCTTTTTATATGGTACAGCCTAACTTGTGACTCTGTTGGTAAACCTAACATGCAACATCATCAACCGCATCTCCTCTAATCTTCCAGTGTCAGAGAGAGAATCGAGATGGCGTAGATTCCTGATGCTTGTAGTCCCCTGAAACGTCCATCAACTGTTCTCTGATGGACGAAACAAGACGGGAAGCTTCCTGGTCGAAAACTACGGAATACCTTGGCAAACTCTAGAGAAATAACCAACATGCTCATTTATATTCATTGAAATCATACGTTGCTTCTGTGTCTTGCTTCTGTGTCTGCAGAGGTTGTCAAACGAAGACTGTCAACTGGAAATGGCAGAAAATGAGAAGGTATTTCCGTATTTGGATAAACTCACATGGTATATAACTTGCCCTGCAGCTGCCCCGTTATTCACTAGTAAGTTGAATGAATCTGCAAATCATAGGAAGTGAAAATCAGGAGATTTCGATTTGGATGCATAAATAACTGGCTATCTACGTAGGCGCATCGCATAGCTAAAGAGCTTCCCAACTACAAAGATGTCATACAGCTTTAATACAAATCAATACTATCAGCCTGCATGAGTTTTACAGGTTTAACTAGTTAGTGGTATTTTGTCCTTGCAATATACTTCACTGCTGCAATTGCCACTTTGTCAGCAAAGAAACCGTTTAGACATCGTGTGAACTTGTGCTCGATATGGAGACAAGGGTTGATAGTCTTTTGATTCACATGGATACTACATATTTAGACATCCTCAGAATTACCAGCGAAAACAGTTACGACGCGAAAAGAGAATGAGTAGAGGAGATAACAACATATGTATATAGCAATTGGTCTGTGATTGAGAAGTGTGGAAGGTATTACCAGAGCCAATGACCTTTCATTAGAGCATTCGCAATAAAAGGTGCCTTTGAACACATTGCTGCCACCAACTGCAAGATAGAACAATTTCAAATACTCGGAAGGCCAGGAACATTTGGAATTTCGAGTGCACGATTTCGTACCCCATACTCGATTTAAACTCCTCAAATCAGAAGCTGGAACTGAGTTGGGGAACATAGCATCATAACACAGAGAGAAGGCTTCAACAATGTCAAAAGCTTAAACATTCTCTAGTGAGACGCCTATCTTAAGATTGAAGGCACCTGAACATGCCACACGAGTAACAACTTAAATTGAAGCTAATTAAAACAATGATTCAGATTTTTCGAATCGGCCCCGAATATGATTAGCAGTAAATTGTGCTGTAAAGGTTCAGAGTAGTACTTACAGATGGAGGGGTCGACTCCAAGGTAGAAAAATGAACCTTCGGTATAATAAGCGAATGCCTAAAGAAGCAAGCCAAATTAGGCTGAGATTGAAATGGTAGCAAAGTTGCAGGCAAAGTGCTTCAGTATTCTCTCTAGCATTCACATTCTGCAAGTACTGCAGACTTTCCCACGAACAAATATTATAACAAGTCAAGCATTAGAAGCATGAATGGATTACAAAGAATCCAAGATGAAGTTCTAGATCAACTGTTGCTTCAGGCAAATTAGCAAATATACCTTACCCATGACTCAATGGGTTAAGCTGCAAAAATCCGAGCGCAAAACCAATAAAACAATGAGAACCCTTTAAAACCCACATCGAAAAGATTCATAATTGGCAATCAGTGAGCTGAGATTCAAGATTACTTTGAACGCCGGAGATTGGCCGCGAACAATAGAGCAAAAGACACAGTCTTGGGTCCCCTGTTTTCCGCCGCCGGAGCTCGCAATAAAATTAGCAGCAGAAGAAGAAGAAGAAGAAGAATTACAAGGAGATACGAATTGGGTTTGAGGATGGAAGGAAGCAATAGGAGAAGCGGAAGAGGGGAGAAAGTGGGAGCAAAGAATGGCGAGCCTTATTCGAGACTCCATTGCTAAGCATTTATTGGTATTTGGTAGCAGGAAGAAAAGGGCTTGGCTTTCCCAGAAGAAGCAACGGCCATATGAACCAAAAAGGAAGAGGAAGAGGGGAAGAATTGAAGTGAGGTGGAAAGCGGGAGGCGTCGTTGGATTTTTGGATTCCCTTACAGATCAGATCACTATGTAGAGACAGAAAGATTTTGGACTTTTGCCAGACAAACCAGCAGACGTTTACTACTTAGTACTTACTAGCGTGGCTAACTCCTAGATATCTCGACCAAATTGTTCGTTCTGCAACAAATTGCAATTCTTGTTGTTGTGGGTACTAATTCAATTCCAACCTGACACAAATTTGGGCACCATCATCAAGAAGACTCTGTTTATGAGCTATATCAAGTTTAGCAGTGATAAGCTTCCTTATCAGTTCCAGCACTCTATCCATGGAGTTTTTCTTTCTCTCTGTCGACGACGGTGCCAAATAGCAGTACAGTCCTTCCACAGCCGAACAGTAAAACTTCTGAGAAGTCAGATGGTAGTTGGGCAGGATCCATGAATGCTTCCCGATCAGCTCACTATATTCTGTGGTCCTCTCAGAACTACAGAATGACAGATGCTGGTATTGCATTTATTCTCTCTCTCTCTACTATGATATACGATTACCTGATCAGCTGATGCATTTGGCTGTTGGCTTCACACTATAATTTGACCTACTTGCTTAAAGATTGAGCAAGAAACGATGATGAACAACAGGTTACCTTTTTACTTGAACTGCAACATGTTTCAAAATTGTTACTCATGCACAATGAACAACTGCGATTGAATTGCTTGAATGATGAACAAGTTCCTGACTCAATTTGAACACCTGACAACGATATCAGTCGTTGTTTCGCAAGTTGCTAACTTTGTTTAGTCAATCCAAATTCGGCCCAATTGTTCATTGTAGCTAAGACGTCCTGGCATGATTCAATGATCGTTGGACGTTGGTGCATCAGATGGTTATAGTCCCTGCAACCGGAACCTCAAGAGAATAACCTCCAGATATTCCACACAATGGTAAAAACTCTTAAACCTTTCTAAATGAAAATTTATACAATTTAAGTATTAAGCTTAGGACCATCTTTAGCCATCCAATTTATAAATCATAAACCCTCAAATCTCAATGTGTCAACAGTCAACACTACTTGTAAGTGGTCTTACAAGACAAAAGTGATACACTTGCGATACTTTGTGTTGTAGAATAAAGCTGGTCTTACAACATTTCTTCTGGATGTCTACTTGCCTTGCACTAAAAAGTGAAAGCGGAAAGAAGAAGAAAGTCAATTCTGTGGAGAGGGCAGCAGAAGAGGGACTTTTGGACATTCGCAAACTCTTGAAATTGGGGGAAAACAAAAATGGTGCTAAAAGTTTGTATCTTTCTTCATGGTATGGCCTGCTGGTATGGCATCTTAACACTACAAACACTCCACTCTGTGCCTAAGGTAAGGTCCAGCACCAGCAGAGAGAGAGAGACAGAGACAGAGAGAGTTTGTCTTGAAAACTGTTTGCAGAAAGGGCTTTGGACTTTTGCAGGCTAAATCCCTCTCTTAGATTCCTTTTTCCTTTCGTCCTTTTATTGTTCCTAGAGGTTCTTCTTTGCCATTTTTCAGTTCTCCCATTGGTCTCTCATAAGTCATAATACTCTGCACCCTCTCTGGCTCTCCCTCTCTCTGTTTCTCCCTCCCCTGCATTCTGCTTCTCCATTGAAGGAACTCATTTCTCGTGAAGCAATGAGGAAGAAATGAAGCTCCAAACCAAACCCACGAAACCCTTCTCTTCTCCTTTCTAGATACCATTTTCCTACCCACATTACTCCTCAGCGTCCACTCCAATTCCATTTCCCCTGCCATTTGCTTCTCCTCCAAACAACCAAATGTCGATGCCACTAGGCCAGCAGCAGCAGCCCGACATAGGCGTGGAGCCTTTCCCCATTCACTCGTCGTCTTCATCGTCTCACGCTTCGATCGGGCCGGTCATCGCGGTGCTGGTAGTGATCATGATTCTCGGCATTGTGGCAGGGATGATTGGGAGGCTGTGTTCTGGGAGGACTATTTTTGGTTATGGTGATTATGATATAGAAAGCTGGGCTGAGACCAAATTCTCATCTTGCATTGATGGAAGGATTACCACCAGCAACACTCCACCGCCGACGGCCGCCACAAGGGATCCACAATCGGGTGACAATGCAGTAGCTTCCCCTGCTACCACTACGCCTACTCCCACTCGTGATCATGAAGAAGAAGAAGAAGATGATGATGAAACAAATGCAGCTGCTTAAACCTCAACTTCCACTCTAATTACTACTCACTATTTTGGGTTCTAGGAATCATTGTTGATTGTTTAACCATTGAACGAATGGTCTTGTTACTTCCTTAGGTTTGATTGACTCTGTTCTTTCTTGAATTCAATTCTCTCTGTTTTTAGTTATTTGGTCCTGGTTTTCTCTTTTTGGGTTTTCTTTTGGTTTGTGGGTTCACGTGAAGGGACTGACATGATGAGAATGATATATCGGAGTAGGTAGTGTTATTCTCACGAAACTGTAGCATTCAGAGAAGTGAGAAGAGAGAAAAGGGTTTCAGTTTCAGAGAGGGGGAAAAAAGCTGCACATGTTTTTGTTATACCTTGTGACTTCCGACGTTTACCACTGCTGCCTGTGGTTCCCTTCTGCTGCTCTGCCCCTCACATCCAGCCATAAACCTACTCTCCAATCTCCATCATAGATTTAGACATTCCAGTCAATACCTCCAATTAATTTTTGTTCAGTGGAATGAAAGGAGTTTCCTGAACAATATGCTTGACAGGAAGATCTGAATTATCTGCGAGCAGCAGCAGGACCTGAACGAGACTGGTACCTCAATATTTATAATCGTTTTGTGCCTAAGCATCTTCAGTGCACATCAACCCATTCTAATAGGAAGACCGAACAGAACGAAAACAGAATGGTGCGAGGCAAAACCAGTAGGGAAAACCTCGCTCCAGTTTCTCTCGAAGCAGATAGCAGACTGGAATAAGTCAAGTCAAAATCGTCATTACTGTTTGAGAACACAATTCAATAACATCCTACATTAACTGCATAAGAACAAGAGGGTCTTACATGATCAATATACATAAGAATATTATACTTGACAGAGGGGAGTCAAAGAGAGTTATGGTGGCTGAGTTGGTGTTCCCGTTCCAGAAGGCGTAGTGATAGCGGTGGTAGAGTGGGGACGCCTGAGCTTGAGGAGATGAGAAATGGCAGCAACCACATGCAATCGACTGCTGGGAACTCCAGTCTTCCCCACCGCCTTTCCATTCTTGTCCAGCATCACAAAACAAGGTACGTACTTGATGTCATAATGCAGCAGCTGAAGACCCACAACACCAACAAAAACACTTCAATTATCTGAAAGACTCAAACTTTTGCTCGCTATAAACATGAAATTCATCATACACCAATCCAAATTAAACATGGATTTGCAAGCAAGACCACCATCGATTTTCCTTAGCAGGAGGAGAATAACTCAGCCTAGACTCCCTACATAGTTTTCTTCTATGCCATCATTCATTTCTTGTTATTAGGAACTCTGAGAGAGAGTGGGGGTTTAGGTAAATTTTACCTCAGGCAGCCATTTCTCGTTCTCTGCGTCGGCCATCACGACACTGACCCAATCCGAGTTCCGCTTCTCCACCTCCGCCACGAAATTGACCAACGAGTTGCAGAGCTTACATTTGGGGGAATAGAATTCAAGCACCGTCGCCTGTTTCCCACTGGCCAGAGCCGACGCGAAAGCTATCTGCTCCGCCTCCCCCTGCTCTTCCGCCGTCAGCGCCTTTACGTTCCCCTTCGCCGGTCCCAATTTGACCGAATTGAAGCTGCTATTCGCCCATGAGGTCGATGAATTGGAAATCGTGTTGAAGGAATTGATGGCGATGGAGCTCAGGGTGTTGAGTGATTTGAACAGCCATGGACCGTCGTAGGAGCAGGGGGTCGAGTTTCTTCTGGGGTGATTCTGATCGGCGGCGTCCCACGGCCATTTTAGACAGAAGAGTGGTTGCTTTGGAGCTGCTTCGCTCTTCATTTCCTAGAAGAAAATTCCGGAATTGGGAAAGACCGACTGACTTCCCAAAAACTCTCTACAGCACCGGGGTTTTGGACTGATGGGCTTTTGTTTTGACGGTGAACCCTATCCTTCTGCTGAGCTAAAAGGCATCAGAGGGTCCATTCGGCCCATCATGAGAAAAGCTAGATCGTTTATGGGCCGAATCAACGGGATCACAAGCAAAGCTCTAGAAGCCCAAAATTTACTGTTGAGTATATGGTCTTAATTCACCAGCACAGTGTGTCCTTTTAGCCCAACTCGACAAAACCTAGTATTTTTTTTTAGTAATGTCTATTTATCAATCAAACCTATGGAAATACTAAAAATTAGCCAAATATTAACTATAAGTTAGCAATTTTGTTAGTAATATTGATTGACAACATGATACTGACTTGGAAGAGACACATCAGGGTCAATATTCCAAAAAAATTAGTATTTTAACTAAAAAAAGAGTTGCAAAATTATTAACGATAACGTAAAAATGGCTAATATTTTGATGCATTACAAAAAATATGGCTAATTAATAACATTTTAATAGATTGGGATTATATAAAAAAATGTGAAAATGTCTCATCAAGATGTGTTTTGAAGATTGACTTGATGAAGGCGTTTGATTCTGTGGATTGGAATTTTTTATTAAAGGTTATGGAGGCTATGAATATTCCAGTAAGTTTCATTAGGTTGATTAAAGCTTGTGTCACTACCCCCATGCTGAGTGTGGCTTTTAATGGAGGGCTGTGTGGTTATTTCCCAGCAGGCAAGGGGTTAAGGCAAGGGGATCCATTATCCCCTTACCTTTTCACCATTGCCATGGAGGTTTTCTCATGTATGCTTGCTAGGGATGTCTCACAGAACCTTATCCCTTATCATCCAAGGTGCAAGAGTCTTGAAATCACACACCTTTGCTTTGCGGATGATTTACTGGTTCTCTCTAATGGGTCAGTCAGAGCAGTTGCAGGGGTGAAGAGGTTGTTTGACAAATTTTACCATGTTTCTGGGTTAAGGTGCAATTTGGCCAAGTGTCAACTGTTCTGTGCAGGAATTTCTAAAGACGAGCAGAAGTGGATATCAGATCTTACAGGTTTCCCTCTGGGTGAACTACCAGTGAGATATCTTGGAGTTCCTCTTCTTTCAGGTAGGCTGTCAGCTCAGGATTGCAGCATTCTGGTGAGTAGAATCACTAAGAGAATTACAACTTGGCAAGCTAAGACCCTTAGCTATGCAGGGAGGATTCAATTGATCTCTTCTGTCATCACCAGTGTGTTCCAGTACTGACTCACTCCTACTGTCACTCTAGAAAATGGTCAAGTGCAATCACTTCCTAAAGCGTAGTATAGCGGGTTGGGTTTTATTGTCAACCCGGGTCCTAGATGTGATGACTACTCGGTGAATTCTCGTTATCTAGCAGTGAACTTTTAGTGCAGATTCAAACAAACAAAAACACAAAGCAAGTTTAACGGTTGTTCAAGTCAAGAGAGGTCACCCGGATATGGTTCCCCCTAGACTGCAGTTAAGCCGGATTGCAATTTACCAAGTTCAGTTTTTATGAAAGTTATACTGCGGAAGGTTCTTAAATAGCCTGAAGTCTCGACTAAAGGTCTCCAGACCCTCTCAATCTGAGTCTCTAGCGGGCGACTAACCTCCACCGGAGTAAACAGATTGAGGCCCTAACGAACCAAACCTCCACTACCGAATGGAATTCGGTACAGAATAGCGAATTGGCTCCTCGACTAAAGTCACCAATTCGCTATCTTCAATTAAGGGTACTCTATCAACCTAGGCAAATATTCTCATTCTAGGTCAAAGCAGAAACAACAGGAATTTGATCAGGATTCAAGTCATTCAATCATTCAAACCTCAATCGAATATAATCAATTCACAAACTCTGTACTTGGGTTCATACAATCAGACCTAGCATACAAATCTAGGGTTCCCCATACCCAGATGAATGGGGGAACTACTCCATAGAGAAAGAAGCAAAAGCAGATTCAGACGCGGAAATCATACTGTGAAGACGGATTTCTGCTCCTGGACGTTTAATCGGCACTTCTCCAAGCTCAAGCCGGGCTCCAATGGTGATGAAGACCAAGCTATGGCACTTGAGAACTCTGGTTCGTCGCTTTCTCTCTCTAGGAATCGCTTTCTCTCTCAAAAACTCGGAACCCTTGAAAGTTGGCCTTCTTTTCCTTTTATCAGCTGCCAGATCGCGATACCCGGTCGAAATACCCGATCGGGTATTTTGGGTTTCGACCGGGTATATGCAAAACGCGCCGTTTCATCCAGGGGAAAATCCCCGGTCTGACTCAATAATCCCCGACCGGGGATTTTAGCCATTTGCCCGGGCCCCCTTCTGTTTCTCACGGGGCGCCCAAAGGAATAATACCCGGTCGGGTATTCTTGGTCATGGCCGGGCATTTTCATCCATCAGCCTCCTTCGTCCCAACTTCGCTCCTTTCGACCCAGAACTCGTTTCTCCGCCTCGATTCCAACGCCGGGACCTGAAATATGACATAAACACACACCCTAGCGTGAAATCGGCTTAAAACACTAGAATCCACATCTCAAACGGCTTCAGAAAAGGGGTGAAAACATGTGTAATTATCGATCTATCAAGTACTGGATGGCAGTCTTCCTCCTTCCAATGAGGGTTTTGAAATCCATTGAAGAGGTGTGTAATAAGTTCTTGTGGGGAGTTGGTGTGAATGGGAGGAGGAGAGCACCTGTGTCCTGTTCTAGGGTTGCTATGCCTAAAGCAGAAGGAGGGTTAGGGATCAGGGATTTCAAAACATGGAACAAAGCCTGTGTTTTGAGGCATTTGTGGAACTTACTTGCTGAGGCTGGCTCTTTATGGGTTGCCTGGATCCAGAAGTATAGGATTAAGGGGAATGATTTATGGGAGATTCCTGCAAGCTCAGTAAGCTCATGGGTATGGAAGAAGGTGCTCAAATGCAGAGATTTGGCTCATACTCATGTCACTGGAGCAGGTAGCACTCTGACTTGGGATGGTAAGCAATTGATGAAGTATTCAGTTAAAGTTGTTTGGGATTCCATACGTGTTCCTTCCTCACCTGTTGAGTGGAGATCTGTGCTGTGGGGTAAACCTTTTATCCTGAAACACAGTTTGCTAGTCTGGTTGGTGGTTCTGGATCGAATTATCACGAAGGATAATCTTGTTAGTTGGGGATTGACGGATGAAAATTGTTGCATTCTTTGCCCTGGTGGTTTTGAAAGCAGAGACCATCTCTTTTCTTTGTGTTCCTTTAGTGCTAAGGTTTTTCGGTGCGTGTTACAGAAGATTTGCAGGTGGCCTCTATTCCCAGATTGGAACTCTCAACTGAATTGGGTGGTGTAGTGTTGGTCGGGTGCAAGCTCGTCTGCTAAGATTGGGCGTTTATTATGGGTGATGTGTTGTGCTTATATTTGGCGGGAGAGATGTACTCGGACTTATGGCGCCAAAAGAATTTCAGATCCTACTCAACTCTCAATCGTTGTTTTGCAGGAATTCGAGATATACTCAAGTAGTACTATAGAACTACAGAAGATGGCCAAAGATGTACTTGGCTTATAGAGTTTATTTTCTTTGGTTTGGGTAGTTACCAGTATAGGTTCCATTGGAGTGTAAAGACGTTGATTTTTTGAGAGGGTGATGCGAGTTGCATCTCCCCGGGCTTCAAATGCAATTTTGATTAACCATAAAAAAAAAATAGACATTACCCTATTTTTTATATAAGAACGAAACCTAGTATTATCAATTATGCTTGTTGATTGTTGGTGGATAATGTGGGATGAAAATACTGACTATACAATAGATGTAAATTCTGAAACCGATAATCATTAAGAAAATTTAATGGAATTGACCCATAAAATAATAGGATTTGGGTTCTCGAATTGGATGAACTTGAAAGAAAAAAAAATGAGTTTCGGAAAAGTAGCTAACGACTTATCTTGATACAATTTCGTAAGAAATGAAAATGAAATTTATTTATTGATATTTGTTACTATAAGATTTCATTTTCAAACCACTTATATATACTTTTATCCATACATTAAAAAAAACTATCTGAAATAAAATCATTATTTTTCCAAATTTTATAACGGTACAAAACGCATAAATATTCCCCGCACATTTACAACATGGCATTTTGGGCTTCCCTTCTGCCTTCACGATCACATCACATCCCAACAAGATGACAATAATAATAAGCTCGTCGTGAAATAAGACACAAGTTGCAGCCGTTTTATAACATGGTTCATCCCTCGGCCACACCAAAACAAAAAACATATAGTCTCATCAATGATTAATTAGCAATGTACGTAGCCACCGTCTAAGTAGTCTCCTTTACACCTTTGGCCTCACATTTTGCAACTTTTTCCACGTTGTCGCGATTCGTGAGCAGGAATATGAATATATTGGGGATCGGATGATGGATCAATGAAAAGAAGAAAAAAGAAATGACAACAACCACACAATTAACTAGCTTTGCTTAATTGCTTTCTATCTTTTTAGTTTCTAGAAGCTTAATTCATTGATTACTGACCAATTGATACGATAGGAATTTTACAATGCTTTAAAGTATTGGTGCTTTAGTTTTTTTTTTATGGTATAATTTAAAATTGTGTTTTTAACGTTGTGGTATAACTTTAGATTGTACCTATACTCTTTTGTAAAATACTAAAATCCCTTTATGGCACAAACTAAAATTTTACATTTATATTATGGACTTATGGTAAAACTTCAAGTTATACCACAACTAGCACAGAGCCCGACCCGTTGGTCGGGAGAACTTTGTCGAGAAATATGGTATATAATAATAATGGATATAATAGATAATTTTTTTATAATAGATGATTTGAAATGCATTAAATGAGTGTTTTGTAACTTAGTTATGCACATAACATTTTTGAAAGTGATCCAACTATGCATAATGTGTTTAGACCTTTATGAAAATTGAAAAGAGAAAAAAAAGATATAAGCATTGCGTATAATTACTTAATGAAAAAATAAATAAATATAACTAATTGTCATTCATT